TGGGCAGGAGGTGGTGGGCGCGTACGCTCGGCAACATGCGCAGGATATGTCCAACTTTCTAGAAGCTCGGGCGGAGGAAGTCGTCCCGGGAGGGCTGCTCATGCTCATTCTCCCGGCTCGACCAAATGGGGTCCCGCACTCTCGACTCGTTCAGAACGTCTTGGTTGATGTGGTGGAGGACTGCCTAATGGATCTGGCTAGAAAGGTCAACTTGTTTGTTTTATAATTATTAGAATATAATACCACTTGTGAGTTAGTCGTTTAAAAAAAAATAAAAATAAAAAATAAATAAAAAATAAAAAAAAAAATACATAACTTATAAGGCTCCTCCTACAACCAATTGGTTTTGAGTAGAATCTCATTATGGTGCATATATATGCTCACCCTCTTATGGCGCTTCCACGTGCATGGGACCGAACCCGCTTCCCTCGATTCTTGCAATAATGATGCATGAAAAATATTTACAATAGCATGACATAAAGTTTGACATATACACATGTGACTAGATTATGTGGTTTTTCATATGTGCTTATTATGTCTAAAAATTATGTTAAAGTAGCTAGATTTACTCATAATTTCTGCATGGATTGATGCATACAGGGAATAATTGATAAAGAGAAGGTGGATAAGTTCAACTGTCCAATGTACTTTACGTCTGCACAGGAATTGGAAGAGACTGTGAAGCTCAATGGATTTTTCCGTATAGAGAGGATGGAAGGTTTGCCCCGTGTCAATAGTTTTCGTCTTTTTGGAATAAGCTCCCAACAGGTGTCCCTCAACTTTAGAGCCGCATTCGAGCACCTAATAGTCACTCAGTTTGGACAAGAAATCTCTGATCAAATTTTCGATACTCTTTTCACCCGTAAACTTATCAAAATGCTGTTCCGTTTACTCTCCGCGTCATCGCTTTACTTGTTTGTGCTTCTCAAACGCAAGCATGATGAAGATGATGATATTCTATAACAACCCAGTTTTCAACTGTATGCTGCAAGCACATTCATGCTCTTCGATCATATTCTTTTCATCACTGTACTGTTGCTGTTAATTAGTAATTGCGTTTTCATGATTTTAACGGTTTTATTCGCTACGCTTGTACTCTTATTGTGTATTAGGACAAGGACTTTGGTATTACATTCATTTTTGTTTCAATAAACAGGACATATCGACTCATCTGTTTCTCACATTCAAAATGACGTCTAATTTTACTGAAAACAACGCTGTTTTTTTTATTTTTATGCCCGAGAATGCGCTGCTTTATCCTCCTAAGAAACTCGTGTCATGAGGGTTTTATTTGCAGCTCAGGTTGTGTAGCCATGTATCCAATTTAATGTTTTGATGAAAATGTTAGATTGCACAATTTCCCTAAAGCCTACTGTTAGATCGATGTGCTATTTGCATGGATTGTATTCCATAAGCCGCATGATATTATTCCCTTAAGCATACTGTTAGATGCTGTTTGCATGGATTGTATATATTGATGAGCTATTTGAATTGATTAAAGAATAAGCCTTTGTCGGTTAGATCGATGTGCTATTTGCTTGTATTGTAATTGATTAAAGAATAAGCCTTTCGTAATTTCTAGATTTTATTTATACTCTAAGCAATTCGAAAGGTTCATATTTTGGTCAAACTTTATGTACGAGGGGTTTTTTTTTTTTTTTATTATTTAGTGAGACTTTAATCTACTAGTAAAGTGCACGTGCGATGCATGTGGTGACGAATGTTTTTTTGCCAATTAAATTTAGTAAGATAAATTAATTAATTTATTAAACATATGATTGCGAAATAAATAAAATACAGAACAAATAAACTCATAATGTATTTTCTTTTTCAAAAATAACATAATAATGTCATAACATAAAAAGATTTAAATAACATGTTATACATCCATAAAAAATATATAAAAAAGTGAGTCCCTAATAAAAAAAATAGTAAATAACTAAATAATGATCTAATGTATATTATAGATGCATGAGTTCTTTTATTTATTTATGTTAGATTCAAGAGTGATTTTCTTTCATTTTAGTTTTGACGTTCTTATAAGAAACAGTCATACTCATTGAAGCTCAATACATCAATAGTATTGCAAAATTCTTCTTAATGAATTTGGCAAAACGTCTGCTTTATTCAACTTAGATATACTTTAGCCAAACATTTAGTCAATCTCCATGATTAAATGATTATTATAAGGTATTGCTACTAACAATTCATAAATATCTCTGAAGATGTTGAATTATTTTTAAAATCATCACACTTTACATGAAACTACATACTCTAAAGTAATTGTGCATATGACATAATTAAGATTGTAAATGTTCCTATCAAAAAGTGATAACTTATTCAAACATTCCAAAATATTTTGATCAGAATCAAACATTCATTTTTTAGTGTTATTTAATTGGATGATAAACAAACTACATAACCTATTATTTTCATTTTTTAGTGTTATTTAATTGGATGATAAACAAACTACATAACCTATTATTTTTAGAGCATTAAACATTTTTTGTTGTTCTAATAATTTTAGAGTTATTTTTCTTAATACCTTTCACATTTGTTCGAATTTGTAATATTTATTTGTCTAATAAGTTATTTAATGTCTAATTTTTTGCATCATACATTAGCTTAAAAAATTAAAGATAAAGATCCTTTCTTGATTCTATTTATTAAACAGTGTCCCTAACATGAAATTATTTTGGATCTGCCATTGCAGTTAGACTTTTAATGGAACTTCCATCGATTTTTGTACAATTTCAATCACTGTTTTTCCAACGACTGAAATATGACCGGAAAAAAGAATTCAACATAAATCCACACAACAATAAATAATTGTAATTGAAATGTTAAATCTACAAAAATTCCAATGTAATTTAATTTTATCTATGTTGGAATAGTCAATGATTTTTTTTCAATGGAAGCTATACCATAAATATCTGTTGGAATTTTCACTGGAATACCTTATTGCTGTTGGATTTTTCCATTATAATATGGAATTTTTGTATTATTTCGTAATCATAAAATTTTTTATATAATAATCTATTAACTGTGTTTATATTTTTTCTATTAAAAAAATATTAAATACGTGTATTTTTTAGTCCATATATTTTTCTTACAAATCACTTGTTATTTTATGTCGAAATTACCTATTAATTTATCAATTGAGTTACTCTTCCTACATATTAACAAAAATAGATATTATTTTATATATGAAATATGATATTTGTATATTATATTCAAAAAGCTAATAACAAATAAAAAGTTATTTACAATTTCAATAATTAATTTTAAGAATGAAAATAAAATAAAAATCCTAACCTACATGGATAAAAGTACAAATAACTATTGTAGATAACCTAAAACTTACACCTAGAATTAATAATCACAAAAAATTCACAAGCGTTTAACAATTCAGTTCGTTTACATCAATAAGTACAAGTATTATATTTATACTTAAGAAATATAACATTTTTAGATATTACTTTTTTTTTCATATTTATTAGCAAGTGTTACAACTTAATTATACTTTTAATATTATTTATCAAATTCAATATTTTCTTACTTTATATTGTTCTTTCTGTTGGGTTCGATATACCCGTACGGAACAAATAACGCAGCGGAATTTAAAAATTT